ATGTTAGTAATACCAGGGCTGCAGGTCTGAACTCCATGCTTGCCATGACCTGATAACATATTGGGCCTATGGTGACAGGTGTGCTAAGAATAGCATGAAGATATTCAGAGATGCTGAAGAACAGACACCAAGAATTTATCCTACAGTATAACAATTTTATTTTGTGTAGTGACTACTACTTATGTCCTTGTCACAAACTAGATGTTTTTCGAGAACCATGTACAAGTGATGGCTCTTTCCATTGCAGCTGCAAGTTCCTCCTTCATACAGGTCTCCCCAAGGGGCAGGCAAATGAGCAGATGCTCCGTTGTCTGCACTTTACTGTACTCACATATATGTGTAGTTGGTTTTTTGTGTGTTTTTTTTTTAATTCAACAGCAATGTGGTCTAGGATACAATGTGTACAAGTCCAGCATAGTGACTTACACACATTGCATCCCAGACCACATTATGCTGAATTTAAAAAAAAAAAAAGTAGCAGAGGGAGAGAGAAACAGTAAGGGCAAAGAAAGGCCAAGATACTTATGTCTTCAGCTGAAACTTGAACTGAGATGAAGAGTTAAGACAGAGAGATCATGAAAGCTGTTCATGCCAACAGGAGCTGCTGTTGGATGAACGCTAGTCAGACTGTTCCTCCAAGAGGCAAAGATGCAGCCAGTGCTAGACAAGCAGAGAGAACAGGTCGGAGAATAAAATTTATTTAGGTGAGGTGAGCTGCAGTAAATCCATAGAAGGTTTTTAAAACAAAAACTAAGAGCCTGATTGAGCTGCCTTTACTCTGCAGAATTCCTGTTGGCTTCCAGTGGGAGGCCATCTGATCATGATGGCTCTGGTAGCTTCTTCCTTCCCCTTTTTCAGTTTTACTTTTAGTAACATAGGTATTCTAAATTCTGAAACACCTTTGCTGCACAAAGAGAAAAGTCTGTCACTGTATTTATGGAAGTAATGGATTCCATCTCTTTTCTTGAGCCTAGAAAATTCTTCACTCCTGCCCTTTTGTATTTTTAACCTGCTGGACTCAAATTGCAAGAGACGTACTGCACATGTGCCTCGTATGTGGAAGGTGAAAATCCTGGCTCCCTGTCTTACTGCAGCAAAGAAATGAAGGGTTGAATTCCGCGTATGGCCCCATTCAGGGTGGGGGCTGATTATCCTATAGCATGTGACCTATAGAGAGAGTTGGCTGGTGAATATTTTATGCAGAAAAGATAGTTTTGGGGAGTGTATGTGTGTGGAAGATATATTAACTCTTGAACTGGGGGGGTGGGCATGCTGCTATTGTCATTGAGGTACAGCATTGAAAGCAGGAGCGGAGATATGAGGGAAATCGTGCAAAAGGTGATTATTTTGCCACCTGCCTTTCTATATCCTGCCAAGTTAAAAGGTGAAGGAAAAGATATTGGACACCAGGAACAGAATGTCAAGGTTGTAGTTCTGTCTGCAAGTGGCATAGATGGGGAATGGGGAAAACTGATTGATTTTTATCAGGATTTATTTAATTTGGAAACATAGGAGCTGCCAGTTTGGATCAGACTGATGTCCTGTCTAGTCTTATAGCCTGTGTGGCCATATAAATTGATCAGAGGGACACACAAGAAACTCTGTGGTGAAAAGTATGGAGTAACTTGTCTGTAGGGGAAACTTCTTCCTGATTCCTGGCAGTTAGTGGTTGGTTTTCTATTGTGAGGAAACTTGTAGACGTATATGCTGTACAATTTTATCCTGTTTGCAGTGTTGCCTGGATCTTCTTTTGGAGTGGTTACACTTAATTTAGAACCCATTATTATGTATATGAGTACTTTATCTTCATTGAATCTCATCTGTCAGTGTTGTACAATTACCTAGCATTGGTCGGTTGTTTTGTAATTCCTCAGTCTTCTGCCGTCTTGAATAACCAAAATAATGTTGTCATCCCAAAACTTTGCCGTTTTATTCTACACCCCTTCTCCACATCTTTATGGTGAGTTGGTAGGCTCTGTATGGTTAAGGCTGTAACTCAGTTTTTATTGCAAGCCTGGTTTTTGGCTTGTGAACTAAAATTTCACACTAAGTAGAGTGTTGCCGTGAGAAGTAATATGTGAGGTTTGTGCGTAAGTTAGAATTTATTCCCTTACATCTGAAGTGGACAATGGATTCCTGATTTGTCACTTTAAAAGTAGAAGTACTTACTGAAGTTAAAGTTCTTCTTTGTCACATTGTAATAAAGAAAGGAGAGGAAAGAAAAATATTGGCCTGCCCTATTGGACTAATCTAGTTGATATTTAATGCATAGGACCAAAGTTTAAAGTAAGTTCTATTATCCAAAGTTAACATTTTAAATAGTAATGGTAGAATGGATTGGCTTGCTTTCAGATGTTTGATTCATTTAGTAAAACTGAACTTAATTTTTAAATTTTTTTACAGAACTGTAGTGTTTGTCAGTTGCTTAAATCTTTGATCTGGAATTCCTAGCTTTCAAATATTTTGGTAATGCCAGCATTTTTACAATACCTTTAACATATTCTAGCTACTTCCAGCTTAACGAAGTGATACCCACTGTTAGCCTCCTTCACCATTTAGACACTTTTTCTGTCCCTTGACCAGTTTCTGAGCCATGATAAAGTTTTACCTCTTGCCCTGTGATTGATTTGTGTTTTAATATCTCAGTGTTTATGGAAAAACAAAAAATATTTATCATTTTCCCCTATTCTATTAGCTTTTGAGGCACAGTGTTTGTATACAGAAGCCATGTTTGCCCCTATTGTATTGTGTGAACATGGTTGTTTTATAGCTCTGTTTTTAGTTGTTTCAACTGATTTTTCCTGATATTAAATTAAGGTTCTCTGGGTAATGAATTCCAGGATGTCCACCCCTTAGTGCTCTTTTAAAGATAACTACAGTTTTTGCTCTCCAGTATAGTAGCTGATTTTTGTCATACAGTATATTATATACTTTTGTTAGCAACTTTGCCGTGCTGTTCTTTTAGAACTCTTGAATGTTGTCGATATCAATTTACACTTAAAATATATTTACAAAGAAAAGGTCTAAACATTTTTTTTAAATAAAAGGTCAGGACTTCTCTGGAATTGGTATACATGAAAGTTCTGGTGAACACTAAAATAATTCTCAGGGATTCAAAAACGTATCAAATACCTTTAAAAATAACTCGGCCAATCTTTCAGATAAAATACTCAAAGGTTCCATTCTTTGTTGAAGATGATTGGATAAAATAATTAGAGTTTCTAGGCTAGGTGTAGTTGAGATTATTTTTTAAAAAGGTAGGACAGCTTTACGAAGAGGAAAAAAAAATCCATTTTACAAGTGCCATTTAAGGACCACTGTTGGTCAGAATTCAGGTTTTGTATTAAAAGTATCAACAAAGCAAAATTAGGTTTAACAATTTTTTTATATTGATTGATTTTGAGTGGTTTTGTTGTTCAAACATTCTGCTCTAGTACTTAAAGTATAAACATTGAAGTGTTATGATATTGTGTTTGAACTTGAAAACAAGACTGACTAAATAAAGAGACTGGCCCGTCTAGTTTCATTGTCCAGGGTGGTGGTGGTGATAAAATCCCAACATTAAAACTGGAGATATTTGCTGAGTTTTTACTCTTTCGTCAACATGGTAAACTACTGTTAGTGTTTTAAAAAAAGAGTTGCTTTCTCTGAGAAAGCTACCTATAATTTTTGCCATGTGCGCTGTGTATTATATCACTAAAACAATACACAAGAGAACTATTTATTTTACCTTAAAGGGGGCTGCGTACGTATTCTAACTAATTAGTTGCCACACTCCTGGTTAATATTGGCAAGCAACTTCTTTTCATTGCCTGTTGTTATACGCTATTGCTGACTTTTTTTTCCCCCCAGTTCCATAAATATAGTGAAAACTAACTTGGTGACTGTTTTCTGTTCCCTTTTTTGAGTCACATTTATTGGGGAGCTGATTTTTGTAGTGAAATGTCATGTGTTTCTGCATTTCAAACTACTGTACTAACATTTCTATGCATCCAAATACATAATTCAGGTGTTTCTGTTTAAATTTGATTTTGCAGGAGGGAGGGCAGTTTTCTATGTAATACTTTTTTATTCATGTAGTTTTAAATGTAAAATGCCTCTAGGTTGCCATATTGTGTTGATGTGGGGGCAGGTAGTTCATATGTAATACTGCAGTCACTGAGGACTGGAATTAATATAAATCTTATTTAAAATTATTAAAAACCACATAAGGTTATTGTCTGGTGTTATATATATACCCTAAGTGGTGGCTATGTCCTGTCATGTAGATTACCATGGTTAGGCAGTGACCTCGAGATCATGGATTTCTTGAGGTACCGGCTTGGGTAGAAGGTCTCAGGCACAGCGTAGACTGCAATTCCCACCTCACAGGAGGCATGTTAAGGTTGAGGGCACGAGGAGTCAAATTACCTGAAAGGTACCAGACAGGGTTACCATTTTGTTCTTTTAAAAGTATCTTTCAATTTTTACTTCTTGTTCAGTGGTAACAGCTTTTATTTGCACTTACCCAAAGTTGCACCAGTTTTTAATGGAGAATTTTAATTTTTAGTTAGCGATCTGGCCTTTATAATGTGTATTACCACAAAAAAAAGTGAAGGCTAAAATCTGGGTCAATGATGCGCTGCAAACACTTAAAACTAGAAGGTTTGTTCAAATTTGTTTTACTATCTGAGAGTAAATCCACGTAATATTTGTTTAGATGGGAAAGTTCAGTTTAAAAGGTAGTTTTTGAGAAACTTAAACTCACTCAATCGTAATTTGCACACCCAATTTGATTTATATAGAAGCACTCCGGCACGTGGAAGGAATACAAATCTCTTTGTAGTCATCAAACAGACGCTCCACTCCTTTGTACTATGAGAGGGACTGATGAGAAATAGGTGCATTATGTTGATCGCAGATTGACTAGCATAGTCTGAAAAGAGGCTGTGGACAATGAGAGCAAGATCAGCCTAATTGCTCTCCCTGCATCAGCAGCATCTATAGAGCATCCTGGGAATTGCTTGCCCTACGATCTGAGCAGCTGGTCACATGAGTCTGAATTTTCAGTTCAGTTCATTAGTCAGCCATTTTGGTCAACACCCTGCTTGCTGCGCACAACCAATCCTATTAGCACTCTGTGTCCAGGCTTCTCTGGGGGAGAAAGAGACTAGTAGTGATTCTAGCAATTCCGGATATCTTTTCCTATAGACTTATATTATTTTGGTTTTTCTCTTCTTAGTTTTGGTAACTAGCCAAGGAAGCTTTTTCTTTTATGCAGTGACCAGGTTTTCTGTGGTTGCTTAGGATTAATAGCATCTAGCACAGCTGAAGAGAAAGATAGTTGGGGAAGAGAAAAGAGGAGACTGAAGAGGAGCATCACTTATACTTTGCTGTATATATGAAAAAGCTACTGCAGTTTGTGTGATTTGAGCATATTTGTTCTTACACAGCAAGGTGGTATTTCTTATCTTCCTCAGAAGGCTTTTCCTTTTAGTTCTTTTTTGTTGTGCCAGCTGAGTCATCATGTCTGCCTTGACGCCTCAAAGCGATATGCCAACCCCCACTACAGACAAGATCACACAGGCTGCCATGGAGACCATCTATCTTTGCAAATTCCGAGTATCTATGGATGGAGAATGGCTCTGCCTGCGCGAGCTGGATGACATCTCACTTACCCCCGACCCAGAACCTACCCATGAAGGTATGGTCCAGTTCTCTACATTGGGAGCCCTGCAGCCATCTCATTGTTACAACTACAGACTGTGGGGGGGCGAGGGGGAGAGAGAGGAGGGGTTTCACCATTCAAGGGCTTACATAATCTGGAAAACATGACCAAAATTGTATATGGCTTAGCCAAAATTATATTTATTTTTATATAATATATAAAATTGTGACAAGATTCTGAAGTATCTTTTATGATCAGACTTCTTTCTAGAGGGTCATTGTTATGTTGTTGTTTTTGTTTTATTTAGAAGCCCAAAGTTGCATCATAAGAGATGAGGTTCTGTATTGTCATGTCAGCACATGAAAGAAAATAACCTGAGTATTTTTGTAAATGATGCATTTTATCTTGATGTCCATATTTAAACATTGGTTTTTAAGAAATTTGCAGCTGTCTTGTAAACAGGCAGCGTTCAAAAATGGAGCACATCAACAAAATTCTGATTAATGTGTGATACGAGGAGAATTTTGACAAGCCCCAAGGAATTGTGCAATTATGTCTTGTATCATGTGATGATACTATCAGGAATCTTGTGCCATTATTTAAGATGGCTTTGAAGCCTGCAATATGGATGCATAAAACACATTTCTGTCTTTAATGTTCTAAGGGAACTAATGATTATTTGTGATCTGGCTGTGATGAGAGAAATTTAATGTACAGGACAAGTACAGTGAAGTTGGGAAATAGAACCAATGTAAAGCTTTGCAAGAATAAAAAATAAAACAAAACAAAAAAACCCCACACATTCTCTTCCAAAAAATAATAATGGTAAATAATGCGTGGAAGCATTTTACTCTGTTTACTTGTGATCCAGTAGTCACTTAGCACTGAATCCTGCAAAGTGCTGACCTCCCACTGAAATGACTGACACCAATCAGCAGAAACCTTTCAGTATTAGGCCCCTTGTTCAGTAACTATCATGATGTAAATCCATGCCAAGCCACTTGACATTGCCATTGTCAAATAGTAACATCTTATTTTGATATTTTGCTAGATGGGATTTCTTTTGTATGGAATTGCTCTTGAAATTAATTAAGATTCTCCCAGGTTAAAAAAAAATATAATTTAAACTTCACCTGTCAAACATTTTCAGGGATAGAAATCCATTAGCTCTGATTTACTCACAAAGGCAAAGTAATTCAGACTGATGGTAGCAAGAGGCTTCAAAATAAGAGGCTGAAACTCCATCTTAAGTGTGTCCCATTGTGCTTAGGTGCTGCAGCACACACGTTTGAGACTCCTATGGTATCTGAAGTCATACAAATATTGGGAGATGTAAGGATGAACAGACGTACTTGACTTAGAATTTCTGTACTGTTGTTTCTCTGTATGTCAGCCTTAACCTTATTCTAATGTTCTTTGAATTTATTTCATTTTTCTCTTACGGTATTTGCTTTTCATAGAACGTTCTTTGGAGTAGTGTGGGTTGGTGTGATAAAACATAGCTACCCTTTTGAGCTGTTACAATACATCATCTTCATGCTGTTTTGGGAAACTTGGTGTACTACTAATAGTGGAGATGGGAAAACAGGAGGTTGTCGTGGCTTTGGAAAACCTATTCAATCAGATCTTGATTCTGTAACCTATGGATTGTTTAGATCCAGGTCCCACTGCATATAAACCCCCAAAGTTAATGATGGAATAGAATTTGAATGATTTCAGTTTTGGCCCTCTTCTTCTTAACAAATTTCATATTGATCAAAAGTACTATTCACAGAAGATGTTGAGAATATATCCTACTTACCTAATATCTCTCTTTACATCCCTTCATTGGCTCCCTCTTATCTATTGCATCAAACATAAGCTACTTGTCTTCACTTACAAGGCCTTTCACATCCTATCCTGACCCTACCCATCATCTCTCATTTACTATTGAAAGGTAGACCTCCATCTCGCAAGGATGCCAGCCTCGCTTACTTGTTAAATATTCAAACAAGCACCTTTGTGGTTTTTCCATGCTGCCCCTCACACTTGGGAGGAGCTCCCCATAAACATCCACAAACTACCTTATTATCCTCTGTCAAGGCTAATCCCCCTCTGTCACTTTGAGTACAGAAGGTGGGGGCCCGCCAGGATTCTAAAAATTAATACTTGCCACTCCAGGCTTGTCTTAAACTCCCAAGGTTACAGCTTTTCTCTGACCTTGGCTTGGTAAACACTGCCATCACCCAAATGCAAAAAAACCCCTTGGACCAAGGAAGGAACACTTGGGAATTCCTCCCTGTGGGGTACCCATAAGCCCTTTCACCCCACCCCACCCCCTCCAGGGAAGAGCTGAGAAAGAAAACAAAGGAAATTAGCTGTGCTACCTGCTAATCAAACATGCATAAACCTCTTAGGACACCAAAATCCAATTCTGTTCTTAAAAAAAGGTAAATTTTCTTAAAAACAAAAAGGAAAAAATACATCTGGAACTTAAGCTTTGCTAGATTTTAAAAGAGCAATTCCAAAAAGTAAGCACCCAAACTAGCTTTCTTGGGGGTTCAGTTTAAAGGTTACAAGCAAACAAAAGCATCAGGGGTTAGCACAGAGGAGTTCCACAAGCCAAAATAAGAAATAAAGCTGATTGTGTCTGTCTAAACATTCCCTATCCAAATAATTTCTTCTAGGTATGGAAGATACTTTTTCATCCCTGTTTCAAACCTTACACAACATTCCTGCTTATAGCATTGCTGCTCTTTGTCCCTGCAGCCCAGAGAACAACAGACAAAGGGAAAGTTTCTTCCCATTTTTAAAAGTTGTAACGTTCCCATTGGCTCCTTTGGTCAGGTGCCCACTTTTATTTGTTTTTTATTTTTTTACCTGGGGGACTTTTTAACCCTTTACAGATAAAGTAGTCAAAGAGCAGCTTCCAAGGGGGATTTTACAGCTAGCTGATTGGCTGAGTGTCCATTAAAGGGAGCTACTCCCCACTTCATTTATCACATCATCCTTCAAATCCTTCCTTTAAACTTTCCTTTGCTGTGATGGCAACAAAAAACTTGACAACGGCTAGGTGGCTGGTGTTCTGAAACCACAGTGACCAATAGTGTTTCTGTTTCCTGTACCTGGACCCATTGGATCCATCTGTTGTCTCTTGTCTTATACTTAATCGCTGCCCCAAAGAGCTTACAGGCTTTTTGTTCTGTTTGTACCGTGCCTAGCTGAATGCTGTCCTAGTCTGTGACTGGGTCTCATGTTATCTGAGTACCTAAGAAGTAAATTCCTCCCCCACGTTGATGGTGTCCACATATCACACATGACGATAAACTAGTGGGAGTGGAACTGAGAAACAGGAAGGAGTGTTGTGCTTGCTTATAAAGAAAGGGAAGCTAGGGAATGAAGAGTATTAATTTTCAATGAAAGAGTGAAAAAAGGACAATAAATGAAAGGAGGATGGAGAAGTAGAGAGAATGGAGGACTCAGTGGAGAGAGTTTTTCATTAATGAATTTTGATTTATTATTTATGTAGACTATATCATATATTTTATTGCCCTCATCTAACTTCCTTTGAGGCTCTGCTGCTGGACCACATTGGAGGCTTTAGTGGTTTCCAGATTCTCCTCTCTTGGGCTCCCAATTTTCTCAATAGGTGGGTCCTAGAGCATCTTAATTTTCAAACTTACCTCTGTGTGACTTGCTACAATATTATTTAAATTATTTTTAGAAAGTTCCTGATTCCTTTTAGTTATTCTGAAGTGGAGAGACCAGGATTTCTGGTAAACCAGCAAGTTACAAAAATATTACATCAGTATCTTTTTTCAATGGTCCAGAGAAGCAGTGTAAGTTCATTTTGTTGTCATTTTCTGTCTACTCCTTACTGCAAATTTAATTAGAAAATGTGTATTAAACATAAAGCAGGCCACTGAAGGAAGTTATGAGTTATTCTGATTTTGTATGTCCCACCAAAACATTTCATATTGATAATTTCAGTCAGACAAATATCAGAAGAAGAGTTTAAAAGCAACCCTAAATATCATGTGAATACACAGGATGTTAAGACTTTTTTTGGCTAGATGGAGAATGTGTGTAAAACTGGAACCTTTGTGGATGTAATACTAATTTCTCAAACAGAATGAGGCTCAGCACGGTGGTGCTCACTATTTATGAAGAGAGGCCTTCTGTCATTCCCCTGTTGAGGAGCTGCTGAATTACATTAGAATTCCCTTAAGAAAGCTAGTTTCAAATTGATTTTGTGGTTTTGAGGTGGAGGGGCAAGAAAGGAGGTAATATTTCAGGAATATAAGAACATCGTGGTAATTCAGTAGCTTCAGCCAAACCATTGCTCAGGCATTAATATTTAAAAAACAAAACAACAAAAACCCCAAAACAAAACCACCTTTTCATGCAGTCATATTAGTTTCTATAAAAGCAGGGCCTATTTCTGCTCCCACTTAAGACAAAGGCAAAGCTGTTTTGGGGCCAGATTCTGATCTCAGTTACACCAGTGTAAATCTGGAGTAACTCTATTTGCTTCAGTAGAATTACTCTGGATTTTGCTGATGTAACTGAGAGCAGAATCTGTCCCATTGACTTATACAAGAGTAGGATCACGCTCCAGGTTAGATTTAGCACAACTCTTCAGCCTCTAGAAGTAATTTTTGTCTTAAACATTGTATATAACTAAAACAAAACAAAACCCACTCACAGACCCTCAAAATTATAAATAAATGCTTTTCGTTTCCTTTTTTTTCAGCTCCTGAAGTTATTGGTGGTAGTTAACTTGGTGACCTCGAAAGGCCATAATTTTATCTAGATGTAAAGAATAAAATTCGATTTAGCCATTGTCGTTTTTTATTTTGGCAGAACAGTGGTAGGTCACTGAAAAATTGGAACATTGTTTTTGTTACACAAATAACACAAAATGAGAGATGCTGCTAGAGGTTTTTTCTGTTTTGTTTTCAATACAGTCAATCTTTTTATGGGTTAAAAAGTAGAAAACACTTTATTTTTAGGTTTCAGAGTAACAGCCGTGTTAGTCTGTATTCGCAAAAAGAAGA